ACCGACACCCCCCTAAGATTTAGCTAAAGTACCCTTTTTCGGTTATTTATTATTAACTGGGGCTGTCTCTTATACACATCTATAAATTAGAACCTTTATTAAAGAAGAGGGGGTGGTCATTAATTTTTAGTTAGTTGTAATTATAAATAAAGATTTAGAGTTATTATCCTCCCCACCAGTATACATTGATGAATAAGAATAACCAAACAACGTCGACGAAATGCCAGTACAGAATTGCTTGTTCAAACCCTAAATGGTGGTGATCTGTTAAATGATAAGATAGAGCTCGGAATAGTCCTACAGCTAAGAAGATTGTACCGATAATTACATGAATTCCGTGGAATCCTGTAGCCATATAAAATGTAGATCCATAAACACCATCACTAAATGTAAATGGAGCATTATAGTACTCAAATCCTTGGAAACCTGTGAAAATTGCGGCTAAAATTACAGTTGCAATTAGTCCATAAATAACTCCTGCTCGGTTACCTTGGATCAGGCTGTGATGAGCATAAGTTACAGTTGCACCAGAAGAAAGTAAAAGTACTGTATTTAGTAAAGGTACCTCCCAAGGATTTAATGTCTCAATACCAGCTGGTGGCCAATGAGCTCCTAATTCAACAGTTGGAGCTAAAGATGAATGGAAAATTGCCCAAAAAATACTAATGAAAAAGAATACTTCAGAAATAACAAACAGAACAAAACCTAAACTTAATCCTTTTTGTACTGCGAAAGTATGATGTCCTAAGAAAGTACCTTCTCTAGTGATATCTTTAAACCATAAAGTCATAGTAGAAACTAGAGAAATAAACCCAAGAGTTAATAAGAATAACCCATTAGAGTATCCTTGGAATGTCATTACTCCTGATAGAGTAACTACTAATAGAGAAAATGATACAGCAATTGGCCAAGGCGAAGCTTCAACTAAATGAAATGGATGCGCTTGAACTGATCTGTTCATAAGTTTCGTTGTCATACGATATATGTGGTTCCTATCATACTTTTCTACCATACGATAGAAAAGTCAATAATTAATTATTGAAATAGTAATATATCTCTTTTTAATACCCTACGGTCGGTAAATATGGCTGAAAGCCCCCGGTCCGCTACCCCCTTCCGGGGCTACTTAAACTTCTGCGATAGGAGTTAAATGGGAAATAAGTTAAATTAAACAACGCAAATGGGGGGAGCTGCACTGCCGGTCTACCGGCTCGAGTCAAAGATATTACTCTGGGCTTAGGGGGGCTCCACTCCCAATTAAGATTCTTATAAAGCCCTAGGGGCGATCCTTTTGATTGGGCCCCCGTCGGGCTACGGGCCGCCCCGGCGGCCCGGGTAAATTTTATTTCAAGGGCCGCAGTGTGGCCCCCTTACTAAGAGGCCAGAATTTATCCGTCTTTTATC